AAAATTGGAAAATAGATGATTTGTACCTGATATATTTCCCACTTCTAACACAATTAGCAGGCTCGGTAACAGAGAATATATCTAACACGTTCACGCCGGGGTGACCCACCGGTGGGTCACGCTAGATTGTCTCATCGGGCTGGGCACCGGAGTAAAAACTGGTAACAAATAAATTTCATTCTTTAGTTTTTTCCGGGAATAATTAAAATCCATAACTACCAATTGTTTTTAACGGATGCAATTTTATATTGAATTGCTTCTTCGCCGTGATAAATTTCCTTACAGTGAATTGTTATTGTTAAAACTAGATTAACTCCTCCCGAATATTATCTAATATTGAAATAGTTCTTCTACCAGTATTTGCTCTTTTCCGTCCCGCTTTCAGGAGCAATACCCGGCGTGAATGTGTTAAATGTTTTCATCCAATTGAAATTTTTAAATTATTCCGTTTAGAATTATAGATTGGGGTACAAACCAGACCTGAAAATTTAAATTTTCAGTCAGTAGCCAGAGGTGGACAGACTCTAATGACTTAGTAGCCACTTTTTCCCCAAACCCAATGAGTCGATGACCAATACCATACCTGCCAACTTTTAATCCTTTCCATTATCATTTTTCCCAGTGGTATTAAAATGGAATTAAAACTTCAATTTTAAGCAAACAAATGCGCTTTATTTGAGAAAACTTAAGTTGACAACCATGATAGTAACGCATATTAATATATGTGCTTAATTTCTGCAAGAATTGTGGTGATCAAAACTATTTAAAAATTAAATTTATGAAAGAAAAAATGGTATATAATTACTACCACTTTAAATATGAAAATGAAATCTTCCGGAAAATCCGGAAGAGTTGGTAAGAATGCCAATACCGATAAGACGCATTCAGTTAACCCTTTCGCGCCGACTGTCACAAATACGTGACAGCATAAGACCGTATCAATCAGGGTAAAAATATAAAACTGGTAATCAAAGTATTTTTTTAGCAGTTTATTTGTGGGCGGAGTTATAATTGTTTGATTTATTTAATTCACCATTACTTTGTTCAAAATAAAACTATTTAGTTATGCTTTGAATTAACATTGATTATATATATGTTTAAACTAACAATAATTAAAGTAAAAGCAAAGTAAGTCTGTCAAATCAGCAACGACTACATTTAAGTTACCGTTTTTTATTTAATTACAACTTTATTCTGATTTTGCACGAATGCTTTTCTGAATCACCCGTCCCCAAGGGGTTAATGACTACTAATTGCAAGCTTTTAATATGCTTGAACTGGTGTTAATTTTTTTAAAGAAAAATTTCCTATTAGAAATAATCTACGATTATAAAAAGTTAATTCAATGATTAAAATTACATAAATGCGTGACAAAATTTAATTAAGTATACTGACTTTAAAGAACCATATGTAAAAATATTTGGGGTGGAAAAATACATTTAATGTATACGTCACCGTGAACGACCGAATTAAAGAGAATGTTGACGTTCACCGGTGAATGTCAATAATCTCATACTCGCTTTGTTGAATGTCAATATTTGTTCTGTCTGATTTGATATTAATTTATTCGATATTTTAATATCTGCTGAGGATGGATTAAGAGAAACATCAGTGTTCGGAGTAACGGGTTAAGACATCACCTCCTACATCAGAAAGCCTCCACACGGTTTCTTATAAGTAGTCTGCGCAGATTATTTAAAAAGTGTACCATTTGTGCGCATGAACCCAAATTCTATTTTAAAAGTACTTGAGAGTAATTTATCTTATATATCTGAGAATTGAATCTGTAGTGGTTGACACAAACCAATTATATTCATAAATTAAACAAATTTTTAGACATATATTTGCTACCACTTTCTAATTTCAACTAGATTTCATATTAATTGGTTCTTTCACTGAATGGTTTACTTTCATAGTGGTATGATCGGACTACCTACAAAAAAGCGTGTGGAGACTTTCAGTTATAGGAGGCGTTGGTTAAGGCATACTGGGCGTGGCACGTGACCTTAAAAAAGCTTTAATTTAGGCCATACCAGGCATATGTAAAGCGGGAAGTGGCACTTAACCAGACCTAGTAGTATATATTTTGGACATTTACTTAAGCGACTATGTGGTTGTCAACTTTCACCTGTGGAAATCAACAACCACCAATTTCGGTTCTTCACAGCAACATATGCACAGCAACTTTGAAATATGTGAATTGCAAAAAAAATCTCCCTCTCTACACGAATCTTTAAACCATAAATTCATGGATTCTGAAGGATCAAAATTTTGAATAGTGGCGTTGGACATTTTAATTAACCTTTTGCCTACGGCGCATGATAGCACCTGCTATTCTGGACCCTCAGTTGTACCAGCCGTAAGTAAAGGGTAAAAATTCTTTTATCCTGAGTCTCTTGCTACATTGATCTATGTTTATCACTAGAGGATTTCGAAAAAAGCGCTGGGAAAAAGTGATCCGACGCTTATTTAATTTGAGTCGCTACTTGCTTCTGCATGCCACATGGTGAGTGGTTATTTTTAGGACTAGTGCAAAGCCATTTATTCTTTGAGTTACATTCGATGGGAAAAGGCAACTTAGATTTCATTTGATATGCATCGTCGCGTGTTATGAAAAGGTATGTGTCACTAGGGGAATATTGGTTGCACGGTTCGTAAAACCACACTCTTAAGTAATGAATAACACTAAGGAACAAATATTTTGTTGCGCTTATACATGTATTTATCTCACTTAATTCGGTTGTGCGAATTTCAAGCCTAAAATCAGCTTTGATCGAAAAGTTACTGATTTTTTTAAAATTAAAATTTTAATTTACTTTTTGTCTAAATGTTCGAGTTGAGCAGCTGTGGTTTCGGAGATACCATGAGGTGAACCGGGTTCGAGTCTCAGCAATGGCTGCTTGGTAGAAATTCCGCACCCGGCTCGCGTGAACTATTGCTGATTTGAAATATCCTCAGAGTGGTAATTGGATCCTGTATTAAAGCCACCTCACCGTCGTGTGGCCTTATTCCTACCACTTCTTTCTTAGCACAGAAGTAAATACCAGTTTTTATTCACTCGAGTTAGTTTCTAAAAATCCTGGATTGGAAACTATTCTTGAATTGCTTGGAAACTGTCGCCTGTAGAGATAATCCAATCACAGTTTGGAAATAAGCTACGCGAGCATATCTAGATCTGCTTAAAAAACTATTGCAAGAGAAAACAAAAAATTTAAAAAAAATTTTTATTGGTGTAATCAAATGATATTTATGAAAAAGTCATCTGCAATATCTTGTGTTTGTAAGCAAACATGTCAAATGATCCTTTTTTTTTAAAAAATATTTTAGTTTAAAAAACTAATTTCAAAAATTACTTTCAAATATTGAAAGTAATTTTATTTAAAGAGTCAACTATTAAATGCATAAAATTTACTAATCAAGTGTAAATTATGCAAATAGATATTTAGGCCATTTAATGGGGAAGATGGTGCGGATAAATATTTACTAGTGGTAGCGTTTTAATGTGTGATTCTTGGCTTAGTAACTTCAATTTATTATTGTGTATGATTTTTATTATCCACTACTAAATAATTCAACGTCCTCTGTAGAACTCCACTTTAAAACAGTTATACTGTATTGAGCCTTTTAAAAAGTTGGTAAAATTAACCGTAAAATTAACCGACGATAACTGTAAGTTTTAGTTTATAGTTCTTAAAAGTTTTCAAGAATTCCGAGCAGATGGCATCTCCTTCCTATGTTTTTTCGGCTACGGAACCCTAAATAATCAAGCTTCTTCCCGACATTGTAATTAAAGTAAATAAAGACAGTATACGCATTAACATTAAAAGAATACTTTATTTTGACTTTAAAACTTTTTATATTTAAGATGAAAGAAAGTTTTCCATTCTCTTATGATTAATAATAAATTAAGTTTTTTCTTGTCATTTTTAGCTAGACTCTCGTCGAGCCCATAAATTCGTTTTAATATTGCTATAAAATGAGAAGTTAAGAACTGCTATAAACGTTTAAAAGTGTTATTAAGGAAACATATTACTTTATTAAATGTTTTTTTTTTCATTTGATAAGTGCAATAAGAAATGCCATTGCAGTTTTTTCATAAATGCCTTTTCATAATTTTTGCAAGAAAAATCAGTTATCATTTTTGGAAATTTTTTTCCTTTCGCTCTCTTTGGCATATTACTTTAAGTATTAATTCATAAATGCAATCGAAATAATCACTTAATGATAAATAATTGATTGGATCTAAATATAATTACAAATTTCAAAAAAGTAAAAATAGAAGAAGAAAAATTATCAAAAAAAAAGTCTTAACTTTCGGAACTCCTTTATCTTTTTCACTGAATCCTAAGGTTCCGCAGAACACCATTTGGGAATGTATTAGGTCTACCGAAAAATTCAATCAGCGGTAGAATGCGCCCATTATACAAGCATGCAAAAGGTACCTTTATTTTAAAAAAATGGTGGAGCATTTATCCTTATATGTATAAATCAGATGTATCGCTAAATTTACAAGTTTGAATTTGTATGCACATGCTATTTTTCGCCATACATAGGGTGTCTAAGCTAGAACATTACCATAGAGTTAAAGACTTATCACTTTCTCTTAAAAAGAAATCTTTTCCATGACTGTAAAATGAGTCGTGTATTTTCAAGGCGTATAGGTACTTTCTGTCATTAAAATGTTGTGACCCTACGACCAACCTTACGTCAGAAACACTATCTTTTTTTAAATGCGGGAATTCTGCTAATTTGGCAAGTTACCCTATTTTCTTTAACGTCGTCTGCCCAAAACAAAATTTGGCAAATTATTGAGAAATTCGGTAAATAAATTTTTAATGTATAATTTAGCTATAGCAAATTATTTAAATCACAAATGCCATTAATTTGTTTATTATTTATTACAGCTCTTTTTCTTAACGTTTAGCATGTATCGAAATCCTATTGCTATTATTTGAATCTATTAAAGGAAAGAATCAAAATTAAGTGTAATTTTATTTTAGGTACAGATCAAAGAATCCTAGATTGTTTCAACGGCCAAAAGATATGGAAGATATTTTACGATGCAATATTTTCAACTATTTGTCACATAGAGACCCTCAGGGACGAGCCATTTTTCTTATGAAGATTGGTATTGTATACTCTAAGTATCATGATGTCAAATATATATATATATATATATATATATATATATCCAATTATTAATTATTATTATTAAAGTGTTTTTTTCATAGATGGCAGCACTGAAATATGTTATTTGCTTTACATATCTTTCTTACCAATTATTTCATACGATAAAGCAAAAGGCACATACTTAATATTTTTCTGTTTAGCAATTTTGTTAAGTGTTTTATTAGTACAGGGTTATTCATAATTCCCTCCGGGTTTCGAAGCGTTATAGTAAAAGAACGAAGACGAAAATGGCAAAAAAGAACATATGAAATTATTCCGAAAGTATTCAAGTTTTAATTTAAGCAGTTGCCGGTAGATGGCAGTAATATGTACAACTGAAGCCAGTTGTAGTAAAGAAAAATGGCGTTTACAGGCGGAGGGAATTATGAATAACCTTGTATATCTAGTTTTATAGCATTTTTATTTTACTTCATGTCGGTAAGTTAGATTTTTGCTTTTCTTCTTTGATACTAAACTCATTACAATTACATTTTTCTTTAAAAATTTTTAGAGGCATAGACGTAACGCATTATAGAGTATGATTTTTATCTTAGGATAATTATTCTTTATTTTGAAATGCCTCGATTGCTGTCGTAAGGCATTGCGTCCTGATGAAGACCTTTGCGTTTTCCCATTAAGAGATTTCTATTTTATTTATTTTATTTTAATTTTTTTTATATATATATATAATTTTGAGAGAAGATCTGGCTGTATCACCCAGGTTGGAGTACAGTGGTGCAATCTCGGCTCACTGCANACCAAATTTATATTTCTATATTTGTCTGATACCACGCGCCTTTTTTTTCCAATTCTCCTACTACTAGTTATACAAACATATATATATATATATAGATAGATAGATAGATAGATAGATAGATAACGCTAATGTCTTAATTAAAGAAGTAAATTAAAGTTTATTATAGAATTTATTGCCCGTTTTTTAAGATTCCACTTCAATGGTAAAAGGCCTAGTAGGTGAAAGTGCTCATAAAGACAAATTTTCTATATACAATACAATAGCATAATTCTCTGATATTTTAACCGATCAAGATTTGTCTCCTTTCTCTTACCACTTTATAAAATTACTAAGTCACGCGCATACATAAATAATTAAGACACTATTTCACATCTGTCAACATAACAGCATCCGTGCTTAGTGCTTTCTACATCTGAATCAATACGCTAAGGGGAGAAATATATACATGTACGAAATGACATTTTTTAATTCGGCGTACTATAAATGAAAAAAAAAATCTTTTGAATTTTGTGATAAAAATTAAATAAATAAAAGAATAATTAATTTCTAAAGATGCTATATCTCATTAATCAACAGTGGGTCATTCGCATGTGATTTTAGAATATGTATACAAATGAGCCGATGAATTTTCCAAACTTCATCAGGAATTTTAAAATATTTATTACTGAAATTAGAAGGAATAATTTTATTCAGTCATTGCATGCAGATTTCCTAAAAGCCTCAATTTCATTGATGGCATCGATGCAATTGTTGACTATAATTTCATTCTTTTCTTTGCTATATACATATTGGCTAGACAATCGAGTACTGTATGGGAATTCTTTTGTCGTCCTCTGAACTTTAAAAAAAAGTTATTCTTTTAAATATACAGAGAAAAAGAAAAGAGAGAATGATGTAATCTTTACCGTAAAATCACTCGATGAAAATTGAATGAATTTTACTTTCAACAACTGCATCAAACAATGGCAGTTCATAGTTTTAAACTTCATGTCGTCCTTGTATTGGCACATTGTTAGTTTAAAGAACTGATAACATTGTCTGAGAAAAAAATATCGTGTCTGATTCTGGATCTTGTCAAAAGCAGGTAGGTGACCTGAGACTTTTTCTTTTTTTACAAAGACCACTAGCGTTTTGAAACTAGTGATCAAAATAGAATAATTGTGTTTTTCATGGGATTTTTCTTTTCAAACGAAAGTTATCATAATAGTGACCAGTTCTGATGTGAAAACATTATTTGGGAATCTGTAATATGTTTGCGTAATTTTGATTTGCTTTTCTTAATTTTATAAGTTAAATAATTAAAACTTAAAGGTGTAATTCAGCCTGAAAAGAGATTTTCCTTCGACCAGCTCAACCAGTGGGGAATTATCTATAGAGCATTTTTTTATTAATTAATTAATTAATACTTTTGAATCATTTTTCTTTGATTTTATTCAATGAAATGTCTTCTATATTAATTAGTTACCAAATTTTTAGGTTGTAAGTATTTTTAAACTTTGAACTTTAAAGGACTTTAAAATGTTTCAAAATAACTTTTGATCTGATATTCGGATTTTCACATTCTAGGTCTCAATCTTAATGGCTCGAGAGGGTGACTTCAAATATATTAATTAATAAGTGCAAATAATATTTTAATTTACGAAATCAGGCACAAAAACATACTTTCTCCGAATAAGCATACCTTTTTTTTCAACAGATTCTGATTTTGGACCCAAAAAGATAAGGGTAACCGCAATCTAGTTAATACGGTCCGAATAGGAGAGAGGTCTAAAGTTTAGATCCCTTAATGTTTATTTTATTTTTTGGGGTATTTCACCATACCTCGTGAGCTCTTTAAGAGAATTTAAAATTTTTTGTTCACAATTATAAAATTTCTTTTTTTTTAAAGTTAATTTCATGCAAAATGTAACTTTTCTTTATTATTTTATTTTATAATAATCGAAAAATTTTGAAAAGTTGGGTATAAAGTGTTTTACAGAATTTAAAAGGATGTAATTTTACATATCACAATACAAAATTTGAGAGAAATCGATCGAATAGTTTCTGAGAAATCGAAGTTTAAAAAATACAGCTTCCATACAGAGAAAAGACGTATTTATGTTTGATTTCGTAACTTAAAATATCTAACACACTAATTAATTAGCATATTAGAGGTCACCTCTTTGAATTATTAGGACTGAGTCCTAGAACGCGAAGATCCAATCATTAGATCAAAAGTTATTCAAGGTGCTAAGTTTTTATTTTGCGCACTATACAACCGTAAAATTTAAAATTCGGTAACTGAGGCCGATGGATCACATTTTAACAAATAAAATAAAACAAAAATTATTCAGAAATATCAATTAGTTACTAAATAAATAAGGCACATAATTCATCCCAGGTTAACATGGACGAAGTAAAATCCTTTTTCTGAATAAAAGGGAGCCTTAATATGTTAAATTTATGCCCTAACATTTTCTTTTCTATTTTGGTCTTATTATTTACGGATTCAGTTTCTCTAATTTTGCTTATCATTGCATTACTCCTTAAATTTCTTGAATCCATTATATATTTTTCATTTGAAGCGAAAACATTCTGTACTTCTTTTTGATCCTAACAATTATATTTTTCAGGGTTGTGGTGTACAGAGTCCTACAGTTTCAAAGAGTTCGTAGGAGCAGGAAACATATTGAGTCATTGGGTTCTAAAAAATCCTGTCACGCAGATTAATGGATACGTAGGAATTTGGGACTTTAAAGATTACTCATTTCAACACTTTTCCAATTCTTGCTCACCTCGTCTAATGTGGATGCTATCATCTCTCATGCAGGTAAAAATTACACGAAACGCAAACCTCATTTATTTCATTTTATAACCGTCACTGAGCAGCCGACTTAATTTTGTGTTTACTACTACCAATAGAACTCTGTAGCCTTGTAAATTTGAACCTAATCCAGAAAACAAAAGAATTTCGTGACCAAGTATTTTATTTTATAACCATCGTTGTACAACCGACCCTATTTATGGGTTTATGAATACTAATGTTCAACATCGTAACTTTGTAATTTTGAATCCAGTCCAGAAGACAATGGAACTCCTGGATAAAGGTGCTACGATGGAAAAATGTTTTTAAATGAAAAACACTGAACTTAGAATAACATATATTTCGCTACCACTGGAAAATATATTTTAAGCGAAATAAGTTGGCATCTCTGTTATGAACCAAGGTAGTGTACACCTTATTATAATGGTTGTCAGGCATTTACGTTAGATTGTTGGAACACAACTTTCAAGTTCGTAACTTTCAAGCTTTTAGAAAAATGTTCTCCCAGTGGTAGCTAAGTTTATTTCTTAATGTATGCTCCCGTGCCACAGGTCCTGGGTTCGATCCTCGGGCCGGGCAAGGTTGACTCAGCCTTTCATCCATTCAGTGGGTCGATAAATGAGTACCAAGCATACTTGGGAACTAAACACTGGGGGTATCGCGTTCGGCTGACCACCTAACCGGAACATCTGCTCTCCTGCACCCCAGAGCCCAAGGTCAAGAAAATTGAGATGGGCACAGTTGGCCTTGACCCTCTATGGGCTGTCACGCCACTGAGTTTAGTATGATTCTTTGCTTTGTAAAATTGATTTAAGTTTATTTTCTACAATCTACACTGTTACATGTAAATGATTCCAAGTTCAGGTATGAAACGCCCCTTTTTTCTAGCTCTTTCGTTTTGAAGCAATTCCATCAAAAATACTGAAAGCTTTAATTTTTAATTGTCTACCGATCTAGAAATATTTTGCAAAGAGCGTAGTAGTAGGCGGTTTTGCATTTATATCTAATAAATTAAAAGTAATGGCTAAAATGTTTTTTTTAGAAACAGATTATATACCAGTTACTACTTATCCATGTAAATAAAATAACGTTTAGCGTAGGTATGACGTAAGATGACTAATGCTCTAAAAAAATCCCTCAAGCTAAGGCTATACTTGAGTTTATTTTGGTTTTTCGCTTTAAATTGATTCTTAAATAAATTGGCATCGAAAGGTTTTTACTTGTCTATAGTGAAAAAAAAAAATTGGACAGGAAAACTTTTAAAATTAGACAGCGTCAGGGTTCGTTTGGTAACCACCCCACTATGCTTCAAGTTGTCACTGGCTACTATTCCATTTACCACTGGACCAATATTCCATTTATCTATATTGGATAAATACCACTTAACGTATATCATGAAAACATTTAATTTATTTTGTAAGTCTAGTTGAGTTTCCTGTAGGTGTTGTATTTAAAAAAAGTATTTTCAAGCTACAAATCTAATTTAACGAATGTTACGTTTTAATGAGATAATTATACGCAGAAATTTTTTTATTTAACATCTGATTCACAATTATTATTTAATTTTTAATTATATGAAAGAAATGTGCGTAATATCGCCGTAATGCTTATCTCAATGTTTTTGAAGACATATTTTCGAATACTTGTACGACGAAAAAAAATAAAAAAAAGCTTTATTCAGCATTATCTACGCCACTATAAATCAAACCCATCTTTCCTCAACAAACAACGATAGTATTTGTGTAATTTCAGAAAAAAATATTTATTCTCATTTATCGATTAGGCATATATTTTATCATTTTAGTAACAATAACAGAATAAAATTAATTCAGATGATTTTCTAGAAAATGATATACATTTATGAAATAAGTTTTTAGTGTGTTAAAAAAGCAGTATTATTATCTAAAATTCAGATTCTATGAATAAGATATATTAACAGTCACGTTTATGAGCATGCTTCTTCTTTTACGTTTTACACAGCGACGAGCAGGAGTTTAATTTATAAGTATCCAATAACCTTTAAACATTAAATTTTATACAATCAGGATTCGTCTTTACTAAATTATCTATTAAAAGTAAATTGATGCACCACGCTAAGGGTGATGATAAATTAGATTATATGTTTTTAAACCGTTTGAGTTCCCGATATGTTTTTATTTTAACTCTTTATGTGCTGGAATTGTCATAAATGAATAATAGGGTATTATAGCTTCCTCATAGAGACGAGCACTTGCGACGAATTGTCATAAAAGGAAATAGCTTCAGTCACGTTGAAGACCGCGTTGGTTTGTTTATTACGATGTCGTACGATTATCCACTGCATTAATAACGTATATCATAGTTATTAGTTTTTATTTACTTGGTACTTATTTAGTAACAATTGAAACTCATATTAGATTATATGTTTTAATATCAATTAAGTCTCGTTATATTTTTAAATAGAACTTTATCTTACCTTATCTTATTATTACATAATTAACATAAATAAACGATTGGCATTGTGTGTCTATAATAGAGCAGTGCGGTTGAATCTCATGTGGAAATGTCGTCAAGAAATAATGCTTTAGTCACATTGAGAGAGGCGTTGATTTTGTTCACGTTCTTAAAGAATGAGATTCAGAGTTTTTATAATTTTATATAACGTTCGATCATAGAATTAAATTAAATTTGTATATTTATCTATGATAGGTATTAGCTTTCGTTGACTTGGTGCTTAGGTAATGACAATGTAATTCAAACTAGATTATATGTTTCGAAGACTTAATACGTTTTTAAAACTAAGCAATTTCCTTACATTTTTTACGTTTCTTATTAAAATTAACATAATCGATCTTTAATGTCACTAATAGAGACAAGCGCTTGGAGCTCGTGTCGTGTTGTCGTCAAGATACTTTTAGCAAAGTTAAAAACCACATTGACTTTTTTATATTCAATATAAATCTTACGGTATTATATATTATAGATATAATTATTACGTTAAAGACCGAAGTATGGTAAACCCTAGGTTTTACTGGTAAATCCTATCTTTTATTAAAGTAGCTTGGCAAAAGACCGAAGTATGCCTTAGGGTTGCACAACCTATTTGAGTGAAGGCCACTAGCACAGCATGTAGGTTAATAAAGGGCTGCCCGCATATTTAGTCTTGTTTTTTGGAAATCTGATAATTTTTATCTAAACATTACTGTTCTAAGCATTAAATATTTTTATCAGTAAACTTAATGACTTATTTGCAGAAAATTAAATACTTTTAATTATTTGAATTTATTTAAAACAACTAAAAAAAACTTATACTTTTTTCAAAATATATTACGTTGCGAGCAATATCGTTCTTTACCAACAATATCCTCCTTCTCTCTTTAAATCAGTAGTCTTAACTCTTTAAACCAGTAGTTTCAAGCTCCAGAAAACTCGTTAATTAAGCTTTCTTAAGTCATGATTAATCTTAAGCAGTCCCATTCCGCTAAGGACTCTTCCACCAGTAATGGCTTAAAACCGTTTCTTGCTATGAATCGTAAATTCTTTAGTAATACAATTTTAATGGTATCGATATACTAAACTGATTCGAAAGTCATTTATGACTCCAGCTATTTGAAAAATAAAAGCTCATTCGGGATAAAATTTTCGAGCTAAATGCAGCAACTAATTTGGGAGGGAGGCGTATTACTTAACCCTTTTCAAATTGTTTTTGAAAAGTTTATGATTTTTTCATTCAGAGTATAATAATATAAAGTTTAAGAATTTAAAATTAGTGTTCAAAAAAATTATTATTAATGTTGTTGTTGACGTGTGCCTGTTTAGGCTGAGGGAGTGCGATTGTTCTTGTTTTCCAGTGACGCCATCTATGGCCCAAGAATTCGACTTCTGCCACACCATACGTCGCACCTGTCTATAGGGCGAACCCATTCATTCATCCACAGATCGTAATTTTGACCTGAATCAGGGAACAATCGATCTCCAATCCAGTACCACCAGACGTATATTATTATTAATAGCTGGTTTAAAATGTTTGAGTATTATAATTTAATAAATTTAAAAGCCTTGAAATTGAAAGACCGTTTGGATGATTAAGAATAAGCATATTTATGTTTAAAAATACCACTGAACGGGGTAATATCATTATGTTTCTTAAATTTCCCATAGTTTATGTTTCCCTTCTTATTTGTTTCTAGAGCGTTTTACTTCTTGTTAGCAAAGCATCTGGAGTAGTTAGTGAGTGCGTCAACTCATATGAGGAAACTTGTAGATTTTAAATATTTCTTTATTGCATACAGTACCATCTCGGTACAGTAAACAACTGAAAATGATTACTTAGAATACAGCTTAGAAAACAACGACATAATTAAGTGGCATCCGCTTCAAACAATGCATGTCTTATATACAGATACCGTAATGATATGCACGAATGACGTCACTTACGTTATCTGAAAAGAAAATATATGTTGCCAACCCACCACCGAAACTTAATTCTTTTAATTTAATGTATTCAGATGAGTAACAAACCACTCCAACACTTAAACTATGAGTTTAGCGAACTTTATAGATATTTAATTTTTCTACTGGTCTTGTCTGCTTCTCTTCTTCAAATATTTTGTAATGTTGTTGTTTTCTTAACAATGCACGTTTTAATCTATAAAAATGAATTTTTTTTTTTGAATGAAATTTCGTATTTTCGATACTGTGTCAGAACCACGTAACGTCGGAAAACGTACAGCGATGCCAATTGCTCCGGGCACGCCAAAATAATTTTTGAAAAAAGCTATAAATACCAGAGATGCAACTTGCTACGGACAGCAAATATATATTTTAGAGTGGTAGTTAATCAATTATGATTCTTGGTTTAATAAATTCAATTTAGTAGATTTTTATCCACCACTATTTCTAAATAATTCGCAGGCTTATATAATTCACCACTCTGTAGTGCCTATCTCATGCTATACATTAAAAATAGCAAGCAAAAGTAGTCCAATATTTGCAAAATTTATTTTGTAGTTATTTACCGTTTTTTAAATTATTTTGGCATGTCCGGAGCAGTTGGCATCTCTGAATAACCACAAGATAAATTTTGCAAATATTTGACTATTTTTGCTTGCTTTTTAAAAGGTATAGCATGACGTAATTGTTATTGAGTGGTGAATTATATAAGCCAACGAATTATTTAGAAATAGCGGTGGATAAAAAACTATTAAATTGAATTTATTAAACCAAGAATCACAATTGATAAACTACCACTTTAAAATATATATTTGCTGTCGAGAGCAAGTTGGCATCTCTGAAAGTAGATTGTTTAAAAACCAGTCCTTGAAAATTTGAGAACTGATGAAGAAAAAAAAACTTGATTCAAATCGATGCTTCCGCTCTCAAATTATTATTAACTAACATACATCCAGACTGACTTTCGCTTATAAAGATGTAGATAAATGAACAACTCTATTTATGCATCTCTAATGATGACACATGGTAATCACTAACATCAACGAAGATAGTTTTAGTCACGTTGCATAACACGTTAGTTTATTTGTATTGCTTAAAGTTAGTAGAGATACATCTTTATCCACAGAGTGTTGTGAATACCAATACTTTTATTCAAGGCTATCCTTACTACAACGATTTCATAATAAGAAAATGAAATTTCAATTTATTCATGAATATATTAAACCTGTTAATTCTTTTCGGCGGTAAAAATTGAATGGACAGTTAAATGCGGAATTATTATATTTCGCCAGAGATTAACACACGTGCCATATAATTATGCATTTTATATACATGTTTAATTAATTTATTTTTAGTGATTTGTCAAAATCATTTTGAAATTTTATTTATAAAACCAAGAATTTAATAGCGAATCATTAAATTTGCTACGATTTCAAATGCCCGTAAAAACATGCAGTTATGTGAATGTGATAATATTTTTTTACTGTATCAATTAAAAATGACTGAAAAATTTTCCATGATAAATAAAATTTTAAACTGGTAATAAAGATCCTTATTATATTTTATAAATATTTATCTTAAAAGTGTATGCAATTTAATTGTTATGAAAAGATTGCACTTTAAGAATTTTGTTAAACAAATTTGGAATCAAAATGTAAATTATTCGGACAATTTTATACTATTATAGTAATTTGTTAGAAAATTAAACCGAATCATTGATTCAAGCAGCATTAAGAAACATGTAATTTTAATTTTCATATATTTATTTGAGCTACCGATTTATTATGGTGATCAAAAACGTTCTACAGTACATTTTTAAAAACTTAAAATACATTTTATAATATAAATCTTGCTACTTTTTTTAAGAGCCATTATTTTGAAAATCAGATAAAAATCTGAAATTTTGAAAGATGTATTCTTTGATTTGCTTAATTTTTTGTATATTTTGTTAAAAATAAATTTCGGAAAGTTTGAGGTCCAAATTTTTTTTCCCTCCCCTGTAGAAAATTTAAAATTTGAAAGTCGTTAAGGTCATTTCTTTAAAAGTGAATGCTATGTTGAAAATTAAATTCCAACTCATTTTTGAGACAGTATCGATGGGTTTCTCCCTTCAAAATAAGCTAAAATAAAGATACTTTGTGAGAACTCTAACTAAACTTCCTTAAAACTTCTCTTTATTTTACTTTAATTTTTTTGTTTAACCCGTTCACGCCGGGGTGACCCCCCGGTGGGTCACGCTAGATTGTCTCATCTTGGCAGCGCACCGGACCGGAGTAAAATCTGGTAACAATAAATTTCATTTTTTAGTTTTTTTCCGGGAATAATAAAAATCCATAACTACCAATTGTTTTTAACGGATGCAATTTTTATATTGAATTGCTTCTTCGCCGTGATAAATTTCCTTACAGTGAATTGTTATTGTTGAGAATAGATTAACTCCTCCCGAATATTATCTAATATTGAAATAGTTCTTCTACCAGTATTTTCACTTTTCCCGGCGTGAACGTGTTAAAAACATAGTATTTTGGAGAATAGCTTTCAATTTTTCTTATGTAGAGATTGTTATTAATTATTTTGCTTCTTTTAATTTTTAGGACTGTTTTCCTGGACGATTTAAAGTTGCTTATTGTGTGAATTGTCCACCTCTTGCTGATGTAGTATGGAAGCTGTTCAAGCCGCTGATTCGGGAAAAATATCGAAAACGGGTATAATATTCCTTATAGTTCGACTGGTAGTAATGTTACCGAATCACAATTCTCAGGCAAGAAAACTTTTAAACTATAGCCTTAAAGAGAGACACCAACTAATTGAAGCAGTTGCGATTTATTCTTTTCAGTGGTAGTTAGTTAAAGCAATTTTTTGTAAAGAAACGGATTTTAAAAAAATATATATTAAAATTTAAGAGTTTAAGCTTACGTCTATATGACTTTATAAGCATCTACTTAAATTATTTTTGCTCTAATTTATTAAAATCTGAATACATCACCCTTACACTTCTACTACTAGGAAAATATTTTTTCTGAAACTATGGAGAATCCGTGGTAGTTGGAGTCTCTGGATACTGGACATTGAGTGTATCTCGGTACGCGCCATTAACCGATTCATCGATACTGGTTAGACATGTGTTAGTAAGTCTTATGGTTATAAGGCCTGTGATGTTGAAAAAGAAGGGAAAGATTTGGAGTCTCGGTTGGATACTGGATATTGTTGTTAACACGTTGAATGCCACGCTAATTTTACATGGCTTGCCCATCTGTCCACACAGTAAATAACTACAAACTAAATTTGAGAATATTTGACAGATTTTGCTGGTGTTTTCAAAGGTGACGTTGTTGTTGAACTGGGCATCTGAGGACTAAATATCTCATGACGGGAACAAACGTAGGAGAGATGAACATGGCATAACCAGAGATGCCAACTTGCTCCGGACAGCAAATATACATTTCAAAGTGGTAGTTTATCAATTGTGATTCTTTGTTTAATAAATTCAATTTAGTAGATTTTTATCCATCACTATTTCTAAATAATTCGTAGGCTTATATAATTCACCACATACTAGTATTTATGTCATGCTAGACCTTTTAAAAAACAAGCGAAAAAAGTCAAATATTTGCAAAATTTTCTTTGTGGTTATTTACCGCTTTTTTAAATTATTTTGGTGTGTCCGAAGCAGTTGGCATCTCTGCATAACTCATACATGCCAACTCTTCCGGATTTACCGGAAAATTTTATTTTTATATTTAAAGTGGTAGTAAATATATACTATTTTTTCTTTTATAAACTTAATTTTTAATTGATTTTAATCATCACTATTCTTACAAAAATTAAACACATATATCAATATGCGTTACTATCATGGTTGTCAACTGTTTTCTCAAATACAACGTATTTGTTTGCTTAAAATTGAAGTTTTAATTCCATTTTAACACCACTGGGAAAAATGATAATGGAAAGGATTAAAAGTTGGCAGGTATGATAACTGATAAAAGTGTTGAATTATATAAGCCAACGAATTGCTTACAAATAGTGGTGGATAAAAATCTACTAAATTGAATTTTAAATCAAGAATCATAATTAATAAACTACCTTTTTAAAATATTTATTCGCTTTCCGGAGCAAGTTGACATCTTGTGCATATATATAAAACTATTTTTGTGTGTTCTATATTGCATTAATTTCTTCAAACCATTTCAGTAACGATAATATTATTAAAAAAAATTAAAAATTTACTCGAACTATGTGTTTCTAATCATCTTGGCTTCATCGGTCACCGGTGACCCCCCTGGCTCTACGAACAAACTTAGTGCCGGTCACCGGAAAACCCCATGGTATTCAAGGTGTTAACTCGGTAGTCTGTCGCGAAGCTCCACCAACCAATTAATCTGCACTGTGCAGACATGTACCATTAAGTGTTAATTATTTTAAATTAAATTTATAAAGCTAATGATTAAATAAAGGAACATAAATTTGGCTACCACTTTAAATATTTGCTTGGGAACAGAAAAACTGTTACGTGCAAATGACAGTCACAACTGTCGAGAGATTTCATGAAAAAATTGCGTCGTAATGCGATAGTTTTCACTTCCAATCGTACGACAGATACGCAATTTCACATTGCAGTCATAAATAGTTGAAGAAAAATGTGTTTCTAATCACAATAGTAAAATTAAAAGTGTGCGCAACTAGCTAAGAAAATAACGATTTTCTTCTGCTGTTTCTCGAAGAAAAACAGCAGAATGTTCATATGTTGCTATAGTTGAAGAAAAATGTCATATGTAAATCATATGTTGCTATAATGTATAAAGTTTTTGTACGTACAAATGACATGGCTGTAGATTTTGATTTTAAAAGCGAAGCGCTCTAGTGAACGAAAACTTTTTTTAAGATTATGTAATAAATATGATTTGTATCCTTCTTAACACGTTCACGCCGGGTTGACCCACCGGTGGGTCACGCTATATTGTCTCATCTTGGCAGCACACCGGAGTAAAAACTGGTAACAATAAATTTCATATTTTAGTTTTTTTCCGGGAATAATAAAAATCCATAACTACCAATTGTTTTTAACGGATGCAATTTTTATATCGAATTGCTTCTTCGCTGTGATAAATTTCCTTACAGTGAATTGTTATTGTTGAGAATAGATTAACTCCTCCCGAATATTATTTAATATTGAAATAGTTCTTCTACCAGTATTTTCTCTTTTCCCGTACCAGTATTTTCACTTTTCCCGGCGTGAACGTGCTAATAAAAAAATCTTCAAGGTACATCCTTTTTAATTGTAAGATTCTTATCTCGGCTGTGAACCAAAAGCCTCTACACGCTTTTTTGTAGGTAGTCCGATCAGACCACTATAAAAGTAAACCAATTAGTGAAAGAACCATTTAATATGAAATCTATTAAAAATTAGAAAGTGGTAGCAAATATATGACTAAAAATTTTTTAATTTATGAATATAATTGGTTTGTTTTATTTACTTGTCAACCACTACAGATTCAATTCTCAAATATATATGATAAATTTCTCTCATGTACTTTTAAAATAGAATTTGGGTTCGTCCGCACAAGTGATTCACTTTTTAAATAATCTGCGTAAACTACTTACAAGAAACCGTGTGGAGGCTTTCTGATGTAGGAGGTGATGACTAAACGGACAGTTGTCAAAAAAAAATTTTTTTTTTTTTGTCAAATTTTTTTGAGTAGTATTAATTTGGGCCATTGACTCCTTATACCGGTTTAAGTTGCTGGGGATTATTATTGAAAATTTCAACTGTCTAAAAATATGTAATTAAGTGCAGAAAATAAGGTATTTTTTTTAGAATTTTAGATATAATTTTCTCTATGTCAACCCTTTCCTGAAAAAAAAATTAAATAAGATAAACTTCATTTCCTTGTATAAAGTATTATGGGACTTATCGAATAACGCAAACCTTTGGTGAAACGCTCGATAAACCATAAAATCTCCTTTTTTTAGATCCTCTTTAAATCTGTGTTACTTTTAGATCGTAGTTATTGGAAATGACATGACAGAACTTCACAAATACATTCATCCTTCTGTCCTCCCCGAAGAATATGGAGGTGAACTTCCACCATCTGATTCCACAGAAGCAGTTGGCAAACTTATGGAGATGGATTCCGAATGGGACAGAGAGAAGAAGTACGGTTACCGTATACAGTCAAACCGTTGTAAAGATGAAGATGAAGACCAAGATATAATGGCCACAAACGCTCAAGAAGAACCCTGTATTGCTTAGTTATTGAGCTTCAGTGATTCATATCTACAATACAGAGCTCAGTTAACTTAGATATTGTATTTGTTGTAAAATTGTTCTTTTTTTCCTTCTATACCGATAGTTAACCAAAGGTGCTTCCATGGACCCGGTTAACTACGCAGAATGTGTTTTTGGTGTTAATTCGTTTTAACTTGTTTTGTCTAATTATTGTTGAGGATAAAGTGTCAAGGAAAAAATTTGACGTTTTCGCTAGTAAAACAACAAAGACATTGTAATTTACTACTTTTGCGATTTATAACATAACTTAGTTAACGCATAACATACCAGAGCTCAGTGAACTTTGTAGAACATTTAATTTACGGCAAGACTATTTTTGTGTTTTAGTTTTGTACCAATTTTCAAGAGCTCAGTTAACTCTGTTGGATATTTTATTTGTTGTATAACTGTTTTCATCATTCTCTAACAATCGTGCGCTTAGAAGCGTGTTTAATTAACTAACTATAGATAGTTAATCAAACGATCTTCTGAGGGCGTAGTTAACTTATTAGAATGTGTTTTTGGTGCAAATTTGTTTATTTTGTTTTGTTTAATTATCGCTGCTAGTGATGTAGAATAGGACCAATATAGCTCCAAGCAAAAACTCATAAGTTATTTTCTAATGATGAAAACTAGGAAACATGAGAGGCATTATTATTGACAATGCTATTTCATCGATTCTTAGCGAAAATAATTAATTTTTAGGAATTTATAATGAAACTCGGTTAATTTTGTAAATATTATGCTCGTTGTAAAACTGGTTTTATATTTTTGTTTTTTATAATAGTTAACCAAGCGAGATTTTTTTGCCCTTGTTAATGACGCATAATGTGTTTTCGTTGTAAATTCATTTTAACTTTTGTGTATTTATTGCAAAAATAATGCGTATATTCAAAATAATTTATAATTGGATCGTTGTAGCTTCAAGCGAAAATAATTAATGCTTATCGCTCAATTTCGTTATAATTTATGTACTGAGTTTTGTGTATTTGTACAATTATTTCATATTTATTCGCGCGGTGTAATACATTAAAGAGGAAAATTTTTTAACTTTAAAGCAACTAAAGAATTTTTCACGAAGTATAAAATTTTTCGCACAACCAGAACGTTAACGTTCTATGATAAATAAAACATTTATTTGAAGTTTTTAGAGACTTTTTTGTTGTTTGAGAACAAGCTTGGATAATTTTGGTAAGTGTTTCAAAAAAAAATGCATAGTTTTACGTTTCAGAAAATTAATGAAAGCACTTATGTTTTTTTTTGCAAATTCACAGTTCCTTTAAACTTATCAAAATTCTGTCAATAATTTGACTAGAGGCTTTTTACAGAAACGCAATTAAATTACAACAAACATTTAAATGCATAAACATTTCTGGACATGAAACATAACCATTAAAATATTTTAAATAAATCTATTTCAAAATAAAAAAATAACTTCAACTTTTATTTAATTAATCAAATACCTGAAATCTCTTTAAATCTGATTGGTAGTTTTTCATTAACACGTTCAGGGTGACCCCCGGTAGGTCACGTTAGATTGTCTCATCGGGCGGCGCACCGTAGTAAAAACTGGTAATAAATAAATTTCATTTTTTAGTTTTTTTCCAGGAATAATAAAAATTCATAACTACCAATTGTTTTTAACGGATGCAATTTTTATATTGGATTGCTTCCTCGCCATGATAAATTTCCTTAAAGTGAATTGTTATTGTTGTGATTAGATTAACTTCTCCCGATTATTATCTAATATTGAAATAGTTCTTCTACCAGAATTTTCTCTTGAAATGTTGAATATTGAAATAGTTCTTCTACCAGTATTTCTAACACCCGGCGTGAACGTGTTAAGATATTAGAAATAGTGTGCGATGTCATTTCAAAATATCAGTAAGAAAATTTCAACATTTTATTGTGTTTTCTTATTGTTGTCAAATTATTTTCTAGCTATTTCAAGTACATTGAGTTCTTAAACACTAAATTTATCAGACGTGCATTTTACAATTTAAACTAACTTACTTTATTTTATTATGCTCTCTATATTGTTAAAAAAAGAAACATGAATAAAAAGACATTAACACATTTGAGTAACATAATGGGCTGCGTTCGATCCCGTTGTTTTCATGTCATGGGACTTAAAACTCCTGTATAAAATTGAAAGTGCCAAAATATCATATGGGTTGAAGTCGATATTTTGGGCCTGTGGAACATCCCATTGATTATATGCAAAATAAACAACTTACTTCTTAGTTAATAATATAGACGAAAAATATAATTACATCACTAAAAAAAAAAAAGAGTTCGGCAAAAAATTTTTATGGATAAATTCAGTCACAAACAAACGGAATTTCACCCTTTTCATTCGAGAGAAGATTCTCAGTTATTATTGTTTGCTATAAAACATTTTACCACTCTAAATGTAGAAATTTTTATTTCATTATTTATAGTTAAATGATAATTTTATATCGGATCTTTTCATTATTGCTACATCTTTTTCACGCCCATAGTAATATCCGTGGGCAACGAGAAATAAGGCAGTATAATAAATTTTAATCTAATGTTAATAAACTATCATCATGGCAAATCTGAACATATTATGGTAAATATAGAGCTCCTTGTTTAAACAATTAAAAAGATTCTCAAGTACAAAGGTTAAAATCTTTCATTTGTTCTAAAACTCTTTTCAAGTACATTTAAATGACTAAAATAAAAGTTTGTTTTACTATATTATCATACCTGTGGATTCCTTAAATTTTCTGAGGATGGCTCTCCCAAGTGGTACGGGAATGATAACAGAATCAAAAATTGTTAAACGGGAAGCATTTGATTTGAATTATAATTTGAGCGCATTAGATTAATCACTTTTTTAAGAAATGTATTCATGTACTTTTTCATGTGTATGATACGATGCTCTGTTATTTGTTTTTCATTTTACTGTAATTATGTACAGTTATTTAATAAAATTTTGTGAGTGTTTTGTACTTATGTGTTTATTTTGTGCCAAAATATCTTGCAGTTTTTTTTACTGTGTTTTTATTAATTTGTTTTCGTGTCTATAACGTTAGATGAGTCTGCAATCAAAATCTTAAAAATTTTCCCTCTAGATCAGTGTTTCCCAACGTGGGGCCCACGCCCCACTGGGGGGAATTTTGATTGTTAAGGGGGGCAATTCGAACATGGACTCGATCCGAGTTTAACCCTTTTGATACGGGCCATTTAAATGCAATGCTAGATTTCGGTGCCAAAATTGAAAGAAAAAAAGCAAATTCTTAAATAATTGCGACCATTAAATATTATAAATTCGTTTGACGATACCAAAATTTAAACTGGGTTTTTGGCGTCGTTAAGTTAACTTCCCTGGAGTAGACGGCAGGCTTCGCGTGGACCCCCGCACGCTTTAAAATCTCGCTAAACAATGCAGTTGTTCGCANTAAAACTCTTTTCAAGTACATTTAAATGACTAAAATAAAAGTTTGTTTTACTATATTATCATACCTGTGGATTCCTTAAATTTTCTGAGGATGGCTCTCCCAAGTGGTACGGGAATGATAACAGAATCAAAAATTGTTAAACGGGAAGCATTTGATTTGAATTATAATTTGAGCGCATTAGATTAATCACTTTTTTAAGAAATGTATTCATGTACTTTTTCATGTGTATGATATGATGCTCTGTTATTTGTTTTTCATTTTACTGTAATTATGTACAGTTATTTAATAAAATTCTGTGAGTGTTTTGTACTTATGTGTTTATTTCGTGCCAAAATATCTTGCAGTTTTTTTACTGTGTTTTTATTAATTTGTTTTCGTGTGTATAACGTTAGATGAGTCTGCAATCAAAATCTTAAAAATTTTCCCTCTAGATTGTGTGCTCTAATTTCTGAAGGAAGTTTCAATAGCAACGCAAGTTTCAATTGTTTTTCGCCGATCGCAGCGATATTATCGCGAAACTCAATTTATCGTCCATGGAATTTCAACTATTTTAAGATTAGCTAATGAGCTCAATTTTTACTGGTACTTTGTGTTAACCAACGATGCAAATTTTAATCGATTTTTGACCACTACAAGAAGAATTTATTGCATCATCAAAATAAATTTTTCGTTAATCAAAATTTCGACCACTAGATAAAGTATTGAAATATTTAATAAAGCTCTGTGCCTCATAATTTCGCAGGTTAAAAGCGTTTTTTTATGGCTGCAAATCGAATCTATAAACTTACTATAGACGAAAAATGTTTTTTTAAGCAGATGCACAAATTTTTGATTTGATCTGATTAACTAGAGTGATCAAATCTCAATTGAGTTCTATATCTGATGTCAAAACAAAGTTTAAGTTATTTTCTGACCTCTAGAAACAGATTTTATAAAACGATATACACAAATAGAATTCATTGTCATTTTCGACTAACACCCTTTTAGAATTTGCCGATAATTGTAATTGCAGATTTTTGATTAACAACAATACAAGCATCAATCGCATCCTGGTTACTGTAAGTGGAATTTATAGTTTTATTGGCGCCAAAACAAATTTTCGAAAGCGAGGAAGTTTCAATTAAAGTTTACGCGCAAGTTTCCATGCAAGTTTCACGCGTTATCATCTAACTGCTACAGACCGAACTGACATCTATAGACTGTAAAAAACGTAATACTAAATAATATTTTATTGGAGCATTTAAAAGAAAATATATGTATATTTTACTTAGAGCATAAACATTTTTTGTATGGGGAAGTTCACATACTTTTGCTAAATGGACTTATATTTAAACTTATTCTGGATGCAATAGTGATTTAATGTGCAACAAGGATAGCAAAACTAAATTAAAATTCTTGAAATATTGATATTTTGTAAAGAGAATGTACTGTGACTAGATAAAGATTTGGAAATACTTCCATACTAACTGTGTAAAAGACAATTATTCTTTTTGCTGCGAATGTCTTAAAAGATTTTACGTGGCAAAACTGTTGGTACAATTTGAATCATCATGCTTGAGGATTTTAGAAATTCTGTCATTTTTAACCAAGCAAAATTCTGATCGACCAAATTGAGAAGGGAAAGTTCATGGACATCTAGCTTTGTTGCCACCGATTTTGAAATCATGTTTTAGCAAAAATGCCTATTTGCATCTTTGTAAAATAACATTTTCTAGTGGCAACGAAATTTAAGTTATTTTTAGTTTACTATTTTTCATGTGAAGTCATTTTTCTGCCGACCGAACTGTGTAGGGGTCAGGGAGCTGGCCTTGCATCAGAAAGGTTCTGGATCCGAATCCCGGGCAGGCCTGGATGTTCTGTCATTCTCTGTTCTATCTGTCCTTACTGTGAAAGCAACGTTGTGCCACCTAATATGGCGTCCCTGAAAGAGTGGCTAGCAAATCTGCTCTTCAGATGCATGTATTGACGAAAGGTCATTCCCCAGGTGGGCATTGAAGAAAAAGACATTTTTCTACCACTACATATCGGAAATTCACAATAACATATAAAATGCTACTTTATAGCAGTAATTGTGATCAAAGATAAAAGCTACAAACCAATAGCTGCACATTTCACCCCCGACGCCTCATATCATAATTCTCAAAACAAATAATTTCATCAACCTTTCTGAAAATAACGTTTCTTCATGCTGATACAATTCTGAACAACTCCAAAATCAAACAAACACAGTTTAGAGCATGCTGCTCATTTTATTTTTTGGTTCCTTTTTAGTTATTCAAGCAAAGTGCTTTAAACATTCATAAAAGCAACTCCACTGCCTGCTTATTCAAGATGAATGGGATAGGGGTCACTTCGCGGCCCAGGTGCCCAATAAAATCAAAACACTAGGACTAGGCAGTTATAGTGACACTTTTAAAAAGTAAATTTAAAGAGTAAATGTAAGTCCTTTTCAACAAATATTACCAATTAATACCCCGCCAATTTATTAAAAATCTCGCGGAAAGCGGAACAGTTTACATCCTTGTTATGGGATTGCAATATTTATATAATAATGCGTTGTGTTCATTTCGGTCGTTTTGCAAGGGTAAAAATGAAATAATTTCTATAAGCTTCTAATACGTTTTTTCAAATTGTGCTTAAAATATTACTTCAAAAGAGTTTACAACTTCTGCGTCAGTTTTTATGAAATTGTATCTGGGTTCTTATTGTTCTTAGAAAAATTTTAATATGGTAAAGGAAAGGATACATTCAATAATTTAATACAGTTGGTACCACCCCACTATGTGTTATTTTGAAACTATGCACATATATTAACAAAAACAGTGATTATATTAAATTCCAGATATTAGAAGTGACTGCAGCGATGCCAACTTGCCCCACTTTCCAAATAAATATTTTTTAGTGGTAACGGAATTTAAGTTTAATTTAATTTAGTATTTTTCCTTTTAAGATATTCTTCCACTAGCAAAAATTCAAAATATCGTATGAAAAGGAAATTAATTGCAGTTAACTCAACCAACCACCCCTCTTTCCCCAATCTGATTAATTTTGATGAAGGAGTATGTAACCCCTGCTCCAC